ACCTTCACAAAAACCCTAACACAGTTCTCCCCACACACAAATCACACATTCTGAGCAGCGACGTTTGGAATTACTGTCTTCTGATATCCAATCAGGCTATGGCGGATGTTACTGATGATTCGCGGGACATCGAGAAGCTGTACGAGCACGGAGAAAAGCTCAACGAAGCGACAGATAAATCCCAGGTTAATCACTGTTAAACTGGATTCCAGAGGTTCATTTCACTTGTTTGTTCTTGCTCTAGTTTGTTCTTGTCGTGAAATTTATGTCTTGTGTGTATGTGTGTTTGATTTTTGAGGAGCAGAATCGGAAGGATTACGAGGGGATAATAGCTGCAGCAAATGGCAGCGTAAAGGCAAAGCAACTGGCGGCGCAGATGATACCGAGGTTTTTCAAGTATTTTCCCGAGCTTTCTGAGCAAGCTTTGGACCAGCATTTGGATTTATGCGTGGATGAGGAGCTTGGTGTAAGTGCATCTTCAAAGAAAAGCCTTATTTTTTTATTTTTTTTTTCATATTTTGTGTATGTTAAGTATGCCAAGCATAAAAAAATAGTTAAATTGTAACGTCATTAGAGCCCAACTTGGTAGAATTGTCACTAGAACCAAAATGTTCTGCCTTGTATATTTTCTGCTTGTGCACACACTCACACACACACTTAAGAGATTTGTTGGTTTTTTGTTGATTGCTATAGGTCCGTGTACAAGCTATTCGCGGGCTTCCTCTGTTCTGCAGAGATACACCTGAAAATCTTGCAAAAATAGTTGACATCCTTGGTCAACTCCTCGTTGCTGGTATTTTAATTTATGAAATCTCCGCAGGATTCTTAATAGCTTATTTAACTGTCTTTCTATATTAGTTTTATTTTTATGGTCATGATTAGGTGACAATGTGGAGCGTGATGCTGTGCATAAAGCCCTTATGACGCTACTGCGGCAGGATGTCAAGAGTAAGTTCTAATTATGAATGATTTTCTTTGCTAATATCTATTTTTTTCCTTTTCAGTCTTATTTCTTAATTCCTCTATGAATCTGTCCAAATCTTTGCAATATCACGTATAAAAAATTTCTAAGTGACTGAAGACTTTTTTTATGAGATTCTTGGTCTCAGACATAATTATTTTTAATTTTGTTAAATCTGTAGGCAGTTCCTTTGCCTTGGTCATAATCAGCGACAGTGGTGTTTATGAACGTGCTCTTTCGAGTGTTAAACGTAGAGTCCAAGTATCAAATTGAAGGATTA